AGAGAAGGGAAAAGCTACCTGTTTTTTGTTTGTATACCTTGGCCAAAACATATTATAAGTATGTTATAAATAAACTTTCAGGAGTAGTTGGGGATAAAACAATACTTTTCTTAGCCCTGTAATTCAGGTAATATATGGAGCATTAGAGTGCTAGTACTAGCACATAGAGTACTCTAGAGATCTGTAAAAAAGCTTGGGAATTAAGATATTGTTGCTGACATATAATAAAGCCAATTATATCTTACGTTTACTGTTCATAACTTTTTGTTTAAGGTGATAAACAGAAACTATTTTCTCTTCTTTTTCTGATCTAAGATGTTGAGCTGTGACCACGGGTCCTCCCCTGCAGTTGCATACTTTTGCCCTGGCAGTCTTTTGATTAATGCGTATGTTGCACAGTGCTCAGTCACATTCCAGCCATTTCATAGCCTAATGGAAAAAGGCAGCAACACTTCTTGTAAAAGAAGACTTAAAAAAAAAAAGTCGATTGCTAATTGATCTGCGATTAAAAAATGGACTTGTTCTGCAAAAGAACCCAGACTTTTTTCTGTGAGTAAATGCAGATGTTAGTATTTTACTGAACTTTTTTCCTCAAGACAACCCTTTCAATAGGAAATTTCTAGAGTATTTTGTTACCTGGCATTTATTTTATTTTATTTATTTTTTAAAAAAAAGACCAAAACCAAACAAAAAAACCCCGCACTGAAATCTGATCTGTGATTTAGAATTCAGAAACAGGAACCTGGAGAGAGTTAGACATGCATAAAACAGATTTGTATATGATTTTATGTGTATGGGTTTTTTTATTGAACAATGACTAGGGAATGGATTGCTAGCTTTTGGAGAACATTTAATTTCATCCCTTTCAAATGTTATTTCTCTTTTAGAATTGTGATGAGGTGGGTATTTGTTTGCTGTTTCATAGTGGGTGGATGTAGTTTGGTATAGGGCTTTTGCATACAGCACAGATAAAGATTCAGCGTAAAAGGGGATTATATGGGGAGGAGAGTACTGTGGTAGTTTGTAAGAAAGGGCAACACGGAACGAGCAAAGTGCTGAAAAGAGAATATGTAGAGGCATGTAGGAACAGGATGTCTTTCTTATAGATACAGAATAAGATGTCTATCTTTCTATATGTATTTATATCTTGTATGGAATATGTTTTTAGAAGGAATTGTGTGTGTACGTGTGTGTATGTATTTGAATTCTCAGATATATAAGAGGGGATAGACAAATCAGAAATAATGGAATAAAATAATTTATGCATACGAAGAGTTAGAAGAAGTGAGGTTTTTCTGTAATGCCTCCCAGTTTTTTGAATCTGGTAACAGTAACAAGTAGCAGAATTTTGGGTTGGTGTGTTTATAAGTGAGCAGGTAGCAGTAGGAACTTTACAATAACATCTGATTGGTTTACATTACCCTTTTTTTAAATTCTTGAAAATAATGCACTTCCTCCTACTTGGGAGAATCAGTTGCTGAGATGCTTTGGTAGTCTGCATGCTCCACTAGATAAGAATTTTGCTGGCAAATATTCTTGGTTGTAGAGTGTTCTTTAGCCTTCTCTCCAAATGGCATTTCCCCCTGTGTGATAGGCAGTATATTGTGTATACAGTTCCCCAATGCGACATTGGCTGCCTTAATTAGCGTTGTGAGCAGTACTGGATTTCACCTGTGGAATATCCTGCACAGCCGGTATCCAAGCTTTCTGTGCAGCTTTCGTACTACTGCCCTTTGTTTCCTTGGTGGTTACAGGAAGAAGCCCTTGACCTTTGGTGGGTAGGATGACTTTAGCATGTGTGGAATGGTTTTGGAGGGTTTTTTTTTTTTTTTTATTGTCCTGCAGACAGTAAAATGCAAGAGTAGTAGCTCTAGATTGTTTGTTTCCTTTTATTATACAGATGACTGACTTGCAAACTCAAAATTTAAAACGTATATGGAGGTATGCTTTGTCTGAAATTAAAATCATTAAACTTGTTTGAAATGCATATTTTATTAGGCTTTATGGTTTTCATGTGCCCATTTATCAACCATTTTAATCTTGTACTCAACAAGTTTGAGTGTAGCATTGTGTTTAGCATACTGGTGAATCTGAGGTTAAAAATAGGTAAAGGAAACTTCTTGACAGAATGTATCCATGTGAGTGATCAGTATCTACTGAGATTTTTCATGTAAAAATGCAGCTTAGTTGATGTCTTGATAGCATTCCTATTTTAATGTTATTTAATTTGTTATTTAATTAGCTCATAAAGAATAAGTGAAGGTTGCTAAAACTTAAAAATAATTTTCAAAGCTGATATTTTGATACCAGTAAAGGAAATTGACCTCAGTATCAACTGACAGTTTTAAAATGTGGGATTTTCCTTGTTGTTCATTTTTAAAAAATACCAGGATTCAAAATTCTACCTTACTTGAACTTACTAAAATAAAAGTTAGCTGACTAGCCTCTTGTGGCTGAACAGATTTTTTTTTTTTCAGATAATATGTAAGAGTGCGTACATTTATTTCAGGCTTAAAACATCTGCTGTTTTTCTTGGTCTACTTGAGGATTTCTTACCTGGGTTTATATGCATTCTAGGTATGATTCATATTCCTTGGTTTAGGTAGTTTCTCAAGTACTTAATATTGAGAAGTGACGTAGTTTCACATTGATTTAAAAAAAAAAGTAAATTTGTTGACAGTCTTTAAAAAGCACCTGTAAAGCATCAGAATAGTTCTTGAAGCTGAAGAATGTAGTACATGTGTAGTATTCTGCAAACACGTAAAAACTGATTATTGAAATACATTAAAATATCTTATGGTCCAAGCAGAACTGATAATCTGATAGGTAAAAGATTTGGACTTTCTACTGGTGCAGATGACTTTTAGGACTCTGGCCATAGGTATTATTTTTTTTCATCCTTACCTTTTTATTTTAATGTGCTAAGACTGAGCATAATTTTATGTTTAGAAATTGAGTGTAGTTTACTTATCAAACACTCATTCTGTAAGTAAGCAATATTTAGTTGAACTGTATATATCTCTGCCGTATGTGGCCGGTATACATGGAAAGATGTATCAGAATAACAGTGAATATTCAGTGCATCAGAATTAGTTTAGCAAAAGAGTTATTTTCATATTGCAAAATAGTCCCTCTTTCGCAGTTAGCTATACATGAGCTGCAATTACTGGATCTTTTACGTATCAGTGATTTCTTTCAGAGAAGAAGGGCTCCTGCAATAGGAATTTAAATTTAAACAGTGTATCAAGTTTTTTATTTCTGCTTTTACTGTCTTGGGGTCCTTTTATTTTTTTTTTATTTATTTTGATTCAGGTACATTCTGCTAATAAAAATCAGAGTGAATAATGGATAACTAATAAACTTGCATACATCATTGCTGATTAAAAACTGAACAGCAAAAAAAATTTTGGTAAAAATATAAATGATACTTATTTATGAATCTTGTTAACTCGTACCTTATTTGTATTTTGTTATTTCCTACCTAGAAGTGGAAGAACTGTTAACTTCTCTTAAGCATATCCAGCACGTTTTGGTAGACCCTCAGAGCCAGGAGGATCTCTCTCTCATTTTACAGCTTGTTCAAAATACTGATTTTCAGAATGCATTTAAGATACACAATGCTGTTACAGTCCATATGAACAAAGCCAGCCCTCCATATCCTCTCATCTCCAATGCACAAGAACTAGCACAAGAGGTATGTACAGTATACATCTCTGTGGTATGTATAAAACCTATAATCATAGTTGTTGTTGAAATATGTACTTGTCAAGCTTGCCTGAGTTACTGAATGTTGAATATGAAAGGGATTATAGTAGTCACCGTTTGCTGTATCCAGTTTTTCCAGGTTTCCAAACAGTAACCAGAAGAATATTTGGGGGGATAAGAACTCGCTTTTTAGCATGGGTAGATAACGTAACAGAAAAGGTACTATGTTTAAAGATAAGAAACGGGAGTGGTTATGAAAATCTGACTCTTTTACCTTCAGTCTTTTTTATTCTAAGCATTCAGGAATTGAATTACAGTTCTCTATTATTGTGACATAACTCTGAGTTGAGCCATGGTTCTTAAATTGGGAGGCATCTCTGAAAATACAACCATACTGCAAACAAGCATTCTGAGCAACAGATCCATTAATACCTAATTTCAACGTTTTAATTACTGCTATGATGGTCAGATTACACTTAATTTTTGTCTGACAGCTCTTTTATAAGATCTGTTATGTCTTTTAGAAATTATTAAAATACACTTTTAGAAACTTACTTGAGCAAGATTTTTAACTTTAATCTTTACAGTCAGATCTTAACTATAGTTTCAGCCAGGTTAACTACTTTCTTTGAGGCTTATTCACTTGAACATAGATGGGCAATACCTGTATACAGTAGCTTTATAAGCATTTAGTAATTTACAGAAAACTCATCAGATGCTAAGTTGCTGTGAACAGAATGAGTTTTCACATGTGGCTGGATGCAGCTAAGACCCTCTGAGGGGTTGCTCAGTAACTATTTTCATTTTCCATGTCCTGGTGCACATATATATTTCAGTGAAGTGTGACCGCACCTTATATGGATATATGTTAACTTTAAGCTAGCTAGCTTGAATACCAGTTATCAGTGCAAGTATAGCACTGTAGTGTTCAGGCAAGCCAGATCCAGAGGCTGGGTAAATGCTCCAGCATTTAGCACCCAGTGAACCGAACTTACCTGTTCAAACTTGGCTCAGGTACATCAGTTGGAGTACCTGAGCCAGTATATAGCTATTCTCCAGTTGCTCAAAGGCAGATTGCTCCAGTTTCAGTGCGGCAGCAAGATGTGGTTTTGTTTCATGGGTTGTTTTTTGGGGTTTTTTTTGGTATCTGTTTTTCTTTCTGCCTGAACCAATTTTTTTCAACAACTCTTTCCTGTTTCAACAACTCGTACCCCTCCTTGCTTTTTTTAGACTTAAACCTTGTCAGTCAAGGAAAACAACACTGTAGCAAGCTTGAAGTTCTTTTGCGGAAGAAATTACTGATTGTTGAGGGATGTCATTTAAATATTATCTAAAGGTGCAATGTGCTGATTAAAGTGAAGCTCAGGATTTTCCTGTTTAGGCTTGTAGGTAAGACTGTGCCAAAACCAGGTGGGAGTATTTTGTATACGAGCTTCCCTCTGGCTTATTCATCATGCTATAGGCTGCTGTAGACTCCTCACTAGTCATCTTTGATGTCCATGAGCCTGAAGGAACCTTTTCAGTTAGCTTCTGTTTGTAAACTAGTTCCCCAAACAACCACTTAACACAGGCCTAGTTTAGGGTGTCATTCAGATACAAGCCAGAGTTTTTGAGTCTTCATTTATAATATAGGATGTTACGGATTTGTCTCTTTAAGAAAGCTGTTTTTTCCCCTTCATGGATATGATGTCCTTTTACTTACTGCTTAATAGAAGTTTCCAAGAAGAAAATATGCCTAGGAAAACTCTAGGTCTGTTTTCCAACTTTCATATTCCTCCTCATCTTCCCTCACCTTCCCAACATACTCCTCTCTTTTCAGGTGATTTGTTAAATTCCACAGTGAGAAGGTGGTGCAAAACCAGTTTTATGTCTCTTAGCAATCCATGAAGAAGGTTAAGCATAAAGAAAATATTTCTTTAATCTAAAATTTTTAAACGAATGGAGTTTTGTCATCACCCACTATTACATAAAAGGCAAACATATCACTACACTTGTTTTGATTCTTCATCTCCCATCCCTGTCTTGTCCAGCCTTGAAATTCCTGAAAAGGCAATATATTGCGTATGTCTGTTCCCTTTTTCAAATGTAATCTAGTTGATTGGTGATTCAGCTTCTTGTGTATTTAAGTGATTTGTGTTTTGCAATATGTTAAATAGCATCCTGAAATGATTGAACCGGAAATTCAGGACAAATATTTCTGTAACTGACAGAAGTGTCTAAAGAGGAACACCTTGAGGCCTCCATTCACATCATTCTGTACTTCCTAGTCTTGCCTGAATAGAAGATCTTGCGCTCATTTTTCAGGTCCTTTATTCCTTTTGGAAAGGCTTCTGTATTTGTTATGGTAGTAGTATGGGAGGAAATTATTTCTGCTTTAGGAAAAGTTGATTTTGCTTTTGTTTTTTACCCTGAGAAAGTGTCTATCTTGCATGCCTAGGTTTTTTCTTGTACTATGATTTTTTTGGTTGTATCTTTCCACCCCCCCCATCCCTAAACATAGGCGTGGGAAGCTCCTCCAGAAAGCAGTTCATTTACTTACTTCAGGGTGTTTTTGAAAAGACACTTGCCAAAGTCTGGATTTAAGATACTGATAACATCGTGGTGATGATAAACACAAGATATTACAAGAAAGAAAAATAGCAGATACATGCATAACATTAGCATTACCTGCCATTTAAAATTAATGTGCATATTGTAGTGCACAGGGCATCAGTGAGAGTATATAACTCTGAAATTGTTTTGGAGTGCATGTCCTAGTCTAAAGCTACAGACATGTTTTGTCTGAGGCTTTATGGTGTGGAAGAGAACCTGTTCTAGGGCTCATGCTTCCACAGCTCTAACAAGAAAAGACAGTTTGCAATACAATTTCCTATTGCAACATGAAACATCCTCCCTTTAAAAAAAAAAAAAAAGGTAAAAATTAATTAAACAATACTTTTGGAAGTGTGTTTGAGGGGATTTGTCGTTTCCTACACTGAACTTTAAATCAAAAAATCTGTTTTCATTTACTATTTAATTGATGATTTGCTTTTATAAAACATAATGTATATGAACAGTGTGTTGTGAAAAGTTTTTTGATTTTGAATTTTTTAACCATTAACAATACATGAGAGTGGAATGCTACATTTTTGTTTTCTAGACCTCTTTAGGAAATTCTTAAAATTAGTAGTACACTTGTACAGTTAACTTTTCCGACCAATTCTGATAACTAGACACCAACAACTCAAGATTTTTCCTTGTTTTAAAAGAAACTTTAATTGAATTAAAAAGGTGGAATGAAGCACTTAAGCTTAAGGAATTTATTTTAGAGAGCTAATCTTCATGTAATGTGGTGTACTCCAAGTCTTAAATAAAAATAGCCAGTAAACATCAAGTGTAATTAAATTGATTTTAAATCCTTTAAACCTAACCAAGATGGGGACAAGGATTAGGGGAACATGGTCTGAATCTTGACCTGGTAAGAATATTTGATGCAGCATTCAAGACCGTTCGTAATTTTTCACCTGTAACAGTACATATCAAATACCTTAAAGATGTTATTGCTATTGAATATACTTCATAGGCTCAATTTATATAGTCTATGTTTCTAAAGGTTTCGACCTTGCTACTGTTCACTTCAGAAAGTGCAGGCAATTATACCAGATCAGTGCTCTTGAGATGATGCACTGGAAGCTTGTAACTTCTGGTATAAGTATACTAGAATGTATATGTATATTCTCTCATGTGAGCAGGACTGTCAGAGAGTAAACAACTACAGGATTTTGCAGGTGCAGTCAAATTCTGACTATTTACTATCACTCCAGTGTGTGCCTCCACAGTACGTGCCTCCAAATTGTGGTGTGTATAATGAAACCAAACTGGTAGCGTCTTGGGAGCTGACTGAACTAAAGTTAATTTAATTAACAATAAAAACTAGGCTGAAGAGTTAAGAAAATAGTATTACTGATGCATATTTAGTGTGGATTGCCTATGCTATCTGTAGTGTGTCACTTCTGGAATGACAGCTTCCATTCCAATTTTTTTTTTTCTGATGAAGCTGGGGGATTCATTACCACAAGTTACAAAGGAGTCTGACATGTGGCAATACTGGTGTAATAAGTGTTGTATATAACAGCCTGAAGCTTTCCTAGTGCTTCATTAAATAAACAAATAGTAAATGTATCTTTCTGTTGGGGAGGGGTCTATTAAAGTTTTGAATAATTAAATTATTCAAAGCAGAAATTCAACCTGAATAAAGAATATTCACCTCACACGGAATGACTGGTTGGGCCTGTTTGCTTGCTTTTCTCCTGTGGAATGCCCAGCCTCTGACCTTGCATTCGAAAGGTTGTCTTGCTTACAGGACTTCTAAGTTGCTTTCTAAGTAGATTTTAATGTAAGAGTCATAAAGTTTGGATAAATAAGGCTTTGAAGTTTTTTGTTGCTCCTTCAGGAAAGGAACTGAAAGTCCCTTGAAAGGTAAAGACCTAGAATAAACCTCTATGAGAAAGTCTTTAGTATAGAAGAATCTCTTCTTTCAACACCGAAGGAAAATTTGTTAGTAAAATACATCCTTTACAGTGCTCTGTCTGCTGTATGGCATCCCAAAATTCAGGCTAAGCTGGGGATAATAGCTTCCTGGCCAATTCAGAGGTATGACTGAAGTCAGGCCTCTCTGAAACTGAATTCTTTCTGTTCTCTATGGTTTTAAAGAAATCAGTTAAAAAAATTGTTTAAATCCGGCTTCTTGTTTGACTGTTCTAAGCTATGCTGTGTTTGTTCCCCATGAGGCACGTTCTAGGTATCTCATAAGGAAAGCTTTTGGAGGTTGTGCCAGGTTTATTGCTAAGCACAGGAACTTGTTCCATGTGACAGTGATTGGCAATGTAAGGATCTTGCTCCATGAGAGCTGTTCATTTAGTGGCTTCTGCTAGAATTTGAAATTATCTTTACTGTTTTCAGTACTGTCATCTGGTAGCATCCAAGAGAGTTGTTAGCCTTTCTATAGATAATTGCTCCCAGGGTAGAGGCTCTTGGGACCTTCAGATATTGTTAGATCACAGAAAGCTTAATTATTTTCACTTTGGAACTTGTGGTTTCTTGATTCTCTGATGTCACATTACCTCATCCTTAAGAGTAAAAAGCTCTTGGAAAAAATGTTTTCTATCCCACTGAAAGCTGCCCCTCTCATATGTATAATCTACTCTTGATGCCTCTGGATTCATTTGTGCTTTTGGACTTGTGTGCCTTTGGTCAGATCAGGCCAGAGGATAATGGCTATGGAAAGTATCTTCAGCCTCACCTTTAGACAAGAGGGACTTCCCTGCTCCTGGCTTTCTCTGTAAGCATACCGGTATTTGCAAGAGATGATGGCAAGGCATGTTTGGTAACTGTATGAGAAGGCAAACCTGTTTTGGCAACTGAAGCTGCTTGAGCAAAAACTGCCCTTGTGTTAATGTGCATTATTTTGGAACCAGCCAAAGAAAGCTGGTTTTCTGGGACCTTCTGAAGTTTTGACTCGTATACTTTCTGAGGCAGGGGCTCCAGGATGAATTGCAAAACCTGTCTTGGAATCTTTGGTCTCGCAGTTGGTGGAAATAGTCTGGGTGAAAATAAACCATCTGCTTTTAAGGAGAAGGGATTCTAGTCATGTTAATGAGAAATTAGTCCATTTTAGAAGACCCAGCATATTCACGTAATAGACTTCATTGTGGCTGATTTCACTACCATGTTCCTTTCTAGAGTAAATTTTTTGTGTGTGTGTGCATGTTTGTGGTAGCTGAGCTCATTGCCAGTCTCTCGTATTGACAAATCTGTGTGATGTGCTGGATACCAGCTTAGATTTAGTAGATAATTACTGAGGCAAGATAGCTGGAGTCCTGTGGTCTGATTGCATGTTTTCCTAATGTGTACCAAATTAAGTTCAATCTGCCAGTGTAACAACTGTGTGGATATGCTTTACGTTCAGCAAAATGAATAATTGCAATTAGGGGTTTGTGCTTGAGTAGGGGAGCGAGGGTTGATAAATGGGTAGATTAAGAGTTTTACTACTTAATTTCTTTTTAGGTACAGAGTGTTTTGAAACCTAGTCACCATAAAGATGGGCAAGAGCTTAATGCTTTGCTGAACGCCCCTCACATGCAGGTAAAACAAAACGCATCTTCTAATCTAATGGATGTATTTCTTGATGCTGTTTTCAGTATAACTTATTTTTTGCAATTGTCTTAGGCTGACTGAGCAAGGATGGAGTTTATTCTTCAACTCTGTGCAGATCTCTTAATATTCTTTTTCTAGGATGATGAGTTTCCAATTTCCAGCAACTAATGGAAACTTCAGTCATGCACTACACTTGATTAGTATTCAGCCCTTGCTATGTTCTACATGTATTATGGGGTAATTTGCACGTAAACAGTAGCAGTAGATCAGTAGAGTCAGGGCAGCACGAGCTGCTTTGCTTATCTGTTTTGTTTTTTTCACAGCTGTTTCATGCTTACTGTAGAGTGCATAAAGGGAATTTTGCCCTGTGGTGATGATGTAAATCCATGAGTAGTTTTCACTGCAGTAACTTCTTATGTCTGTATCTTCAGTCACATACAAAGTAAACCAATTTTTTTTTTAGGAAGGAGAGCCTGTAAGTACGGTCACAGTTGTGTGATCAAAATTCTTTTTTATTCTTTTCCAATCTGAAAGGAAAGTTTTGGAAAGCAATAGGTGCTACATAGCTATGATAAATGTTTTTGGGTTTTTTTTTTTTAATTGCTTGAGTCAGTTTGCAATATTCTGTAACCTGCAAAGACTATTCAAATTGCAGAATTTCATTCAACTCTGCTATTTTGTATACATATGAAGTGTGAAATTTTCTGTAACTGAGCTGGTTTTATTTAACACTAGGCACTTTTACTGGCTCATGATAAGGTTGCGGAACAAGAAATGCAACCAGAGCCTGTGACAGATGAAAAAATTTATGAGAATGTTGGCGTGTATGGAGGGGAGACGGTTAAAATAGTTCGCATTGAGAAAGCTCGGGATATTCCATTGGTAAGTACTGGTACTCACTCAGTTATATGTAAAGGAGGTAAACTTTTTTGTCCTTTGCAGATTCCTGTGAAAGTTTTAGAATTTGAATGTGGCAGTGATGTTTAACTTGTAAGTTCCCTCCCTCCCTCCCTCCCTCCAAAATAAGAATTAATCATAGATGGTAAACTTGTCTGTATCTTCATATAGCAGTAGCCATGCTACCATTTCAAAATCCGTACATCTTCTGTCAACTTGGGTTTGGACATGACTTCTTGACAGAAGGCACTATCACTTTGCTGCAGGGGAGCTTATGGCCTTGTGCCAACCATACGGTTTTTTGGTTTGGTTTTGGATCTGTTTAGTTTTCCAACTCTCATTTTCCATTTTGCATCTTTCAAATAAGTGTTTCCTTAGGAATATGTTTTTTAAAAAATCATGAGCCCTACGGTGTGGAGCAATTCAATTCCTCGATCTTTAGCGCAACTGGAGGAAATTAAGCGGTGGGGTTTTTTTTAAACTGGAGCATTGGGTATATGAATCTGAGCTGTTACATGCATTCTCTTTCAACATAGTTTCTCCACTGGCTTGGAATACATACAATAGATGGCTTTGAGTTTCATATGTATGATAAATTCAGAATGTGTTGCTACTACACAGGGTGCTACTGTTCGCAATGAAATGGATTCTGTTATCATTAGTCGAATAGTGAAAGGAGGTGCCGCGGAGAAGAGTGGGCTGTTACATGAAGGGGACGAAGTTCTGGAGATTAATGGCATTGAGATTCGTGGAAAAGATGTTAATGAAGTTTTTGACTTGTTGGTGAGTTGGACGCTTCTTGTTTTCCCTGCAAAAAATATTCATTTCATAAGACTGAAGCCTGTTGGCTCTGCTTGTCATTTGTACTCATATTTAGCACTAGTTTAAAAGTCTTTTAATTCTGATAGCTAGTGTTTATATGTGGAGGGCCATTTCAAGTTTTCTTTCTGATGCATAGTATGATACAAGTAAGTATAGTGGCGGTTGCCTGCAAAAATGAAGCCTACAAATGTGGAAGAGTCAAGCTATCATCCTGAGACTTGCTTTTAATGATTTCTGAGGAAAACTTCATTTAGCTCTGTAAAGTCATGATTTTTCATCTTTGTCTCTGAGTCCTCGATTAATAAATGTGTGGCTGGCTGATTGTGGTACCGTCTGACTGGGATGGAGGTAATTTTCTTCATAGCAGCTTATATGATGCTCTGTTTTAGGCTGGCTTTAGACTGAAACAGTGTTGATAATGCACCAATGTTTTAGCTATTGCTGAACAGTGCTTGCACGGTGTCAAGGCCTTCTCTGTTTCTCACTCTGTCCGCTGCCCGCGAGTAGGCTGGGGGTGAGCAAGAGGTTGGGAGGGGACACAGCTGGGACAGCTAACCTGGATTGACCACAGTGATATATCATGCCGTATAACATCATGCTGAGCAATAAAAACTGGGTGGTGAGTTGTGAGTGATTTCCTTGGCATCACTTGTTGGGTTTTTTCCCCTTCACTTGTTAAACTGTCTTTACCTTGAGCCATGAGTTTTTCTTGCTTTTGGTCTTCTGATTCTTGCTCCCATCCTGCTGGGGAAGGGGGCTGATGAGGAGCTGGTGGGTGCTTAGTTGCTGGCCAGACTTAACCCAGCACAAATTGTATCACATGGAACATTTACAGGACTAGACTTCCTGTTCTTTCACTCTTGATAAAAACTCCTTTGTCTAGCAGTTTACCAGCATAGACATTTTTCTGTGTATTATACTTTTACCATTCATGACAAAATTATACATCAGTTCAAAAGCAGCTAGTCAAAACAACAGGCAAGAAATCCATCAGGAACTAGTAAATGCAGAGGTACTCTGAAGGCCCTGTGAGGTACCATGTCAAAAGCTGGGAATTACCAGTATTTTCTGTTGCCCAGTTTTGCTTGTCTCATGCTTTTCCCTGGTACCTGCTGTTGATTAGTGTCCCAGATGGGACACCTGGAACCTGACGATGAAGCTTTGGTCTGATTGCAGCAGGCAAGATTTTATGTCAAAGTGAAAACAGGTGAAAATGACAATTTTTTTAAAAAAGTTAATTTGTAACTTTGATACAAAACATTGGAAATATCCTGTAGGACTTATTTAATAGGGTCTTTGGGGGGGAAAAAAAAGATAATTATATTTAATAAATCATCAAATTACTTAGTAGATCTGTGTTCTATAGACCAGTTGGAATCAGGACAAATACCTGGGTTCTGCTGTAGGTTGCATTACTGTAGGACGAATAGGTAGCAATATCCATAGATGAGGTGGTCTCATGCTGCAGTAAGAAAGACTGTAGTTTTAATGGGCAATTTCTACCTTTAGTTGGATTTTTTTTCTGAAATTTGCTGTTAAAATATTTCATCTAATGCATGGAATGAGGTCAAGTGGAGGGAAGTAGAGGCAAAAATGGGGGGGGGTTGTTTGGGTTTTTTAAGCCATTTAAAAAGATTCTTATAGTTATTTGAAAAGCCTTCAATCTGCTTGTGTTTTTTGGATCAGAGATATCTGAGATTCTTCATGCTCTGCAACTGTCTCCATTGCCATCTGTATTTTTTTAAAAAGCCGTATTTAGCTAAGTCCTATGCTTCTGAAAAGAATGTTTTGTAGATGCTTGACAGATAAGTCAACTCTGACAGTTTAGTTCTCTGCAGAGAGCTTGTTCTGCTCTTGAGCAGCTCCTGCAACCTAGAGTTACAGAATAAAAGATTTAAAACCACAATACACTAACATAAGAGCAAATTACTTCCTGAAAATTTAAAAAAACCCCAACACGTAGGTGTTTCTTAAATATACTTTTAAAATCATTAATTTAAATAATTTTTAATGCTTTATATGTTGTCTTCTGTGTTTTGTAATGTGGAAGTGAGGTTTTAAAATATTTCAGTCCCCAAAAAATGCTTAAAACTAGCACAGGAGAAGGAAATTACTTTCCCTTTAATTTTGCCTCACCACTTGCTACACAAATGATAATAAACTGCGCATGACTTTAGACAAGACTATTCACACAATCACTGTGAAATTCTGTGCATTCCTTGTGGAATGCAGTTATGCATGCTGACTGAAAATCATGGATTTTCCTTTCCTGCAGCCTAATCATGTTATGCTTAGTTATGTTTGTTTAAGGCTTAGGTCTGAATTTTTTGATACATGCATTTGCTTTGGTTTGATACAACATAAATTGTCTTACGGTTCGTGGAATGATATATAAGTAGTAAGACCTATGTAGACCTTGTCACAGGTTGGCACTTGCATTTTGTCTAGATATTCTTTGTGTGGAGACACACTCTGCATACAAAAGTATGCAAACAAATAAGAATTCTTTAAAGCCAGAACATTTATTATGTTCTGCTTTCTTAGTAAGGGTGATTGCAATATTGATATTAAGTACTTTACAGATGCTGGATTTGAATGTGTTAAATTTTTAAACAGTGTCTTGTATACTTTAATAATGTTAACAGCATAAAATCAAGTAGAAATGTTTAGATGTTGGTATATTTGAACAGAACAGGAGAATATTATTCTCCATTTCTCTGAAGTTGCTGCTTGACAGAATTGCAGCTGCTCCACTTCAAATAGAAATAGTTTATGTATAATCAAGAATGCTAGGCTTTTAAAATCTGAATATCAACATTTGGCTTTCTGGCCTGTCGCTGAATCACTGTATCTGTACTGTATCTTACAAACCAGTTAAGGGTTGCTGTTAAGAGCTGCCTTTTATGGGAATTCTTGAAGCATTTCCTAAAATGTTATTTATTAAAATTTTTAACCTTAAGCCATATTTTGATACTGTATATGAAGAGTCTATTTTTCATCTCAGGCCGACATGCATGGTACTCTGACCTTTGTATTGATTCCCAGTCAGCAGAGCAAGCCACCTCCTGCGAAGGAGACAGTTGTAAGTAGCTCTACATAAGTTCTTGAGCTTGGTGATAATACCTTGTTTTACCAGTAATGCATACGTGCTTCTTCTGTAGGTCATTTACATTGTGGGACAAAACCAAAGCTTAATTGTTTAAATTGGTTTAATTGTTGCCAGACTACTAACACCTGAATTAACTGTTGAAAATGATTGATGGTGTTAAGCTGAAATGCTTAATATGATTTTAACTCAGTTTCTAAAATAGTAAGAAATTATAAAAGTAGAACTGCCTGTGCTTCTGGAATTCTATTTTGAAATTCCCAATTTCTCTATTTTTTTATGTGTATATTAAAAAATTGGATTGATGGAACTTGCAAATATGCTTTGGGTGGAAAAGTTTGTACACTGGAAACCTTGTTCATGATCTTTTTAGCTAACATACTCTTCTTGAGACAGCTTTAACAGTTTGAAGAAAGAATGCACCAATTTATATTACAGCCAAACAAAAATGTTAATGGTTGGTGATGAAGTGAAGCATTTTACAAGTGAAACTTCACCTAAAGCCGAGCAAATGGATTTCAATTGTGTATTTATTAATTGTTGTAAACAAATCAGAATATCTCTGGTACTTCTTGAATGCAGAGAACTTAAATTAGTAGCTCAGGGGGTTTTGCCTCCTAAAATGGTGAGGAAATTGCATAGACTTTAGAATTAACAAGAGTTAAATTCAGGCCTTCAGCTCCACCAGCCTAGCAAAAGTGTGTCTTACCCATTGCTAACCTAGGTAATGATTCCATTCCAGTATCTCTTGTATGCCTCAGATAAAGTTTCCATTTTATAGAATCTTGGGTGTTTTTATGTATCAGAGCTCCACTGCAGTCACAGGAAGATGGGGTGTAATTCTTCAGAAGTCACAAGTTGTTTTTTTTTCTCTTCTGTTTTTACATTTGATCTCCCACAGATACACGTGAAAGCGCATTTTGACTATGATCCCTCTGATGACCCTTACGTCCCCTGCCGAGAGTTAGGCCTATCCTTTCAAAAAGGAGATATACTCCATGTGATCAGCCAAGAAGATCCAAACTGGTGGCAGGCTTACAGAGATGGAGATGAAGATAATCAGCCATTGGCAGGCCTTATCCCTGGTATGTAAAACTCTAGAAAAAGCTTGACAGCCAGTTGTTCCCATAGCTGCAGGAGCAATATTCTGGTTTTCAAGGGCTCATATTCCCTTAAATACCCATTGCCTTAAATATCTGTGACTTTGAACCTTTTGCAACAGAGGCTACTGTTAGTTATGTAATTCACTTACTTAAAAGGTTGACCTTTTAGAAGTACCTCCACGTATAGATGTTAAACACAGAGCAAAGCTTCCGCTTCCACTGCAGCTCACCCCTCAAGAACTACTCTCCTCTTCCTTTACTCCTCTGCCTTGGGACACTGTGGATTCCGAGTTCCCTCTGCTGGCTACAGGCAGAAATGTGGGACTTCAGCCTGCTGGTGCTCCGGAGATGAGAGCGGCTGTTAGGTTTCTTACTATATCAAGTAGTCTATTTGAAAAATGTTAACTTTTCTGCATGTTTTCCCTTACAAGTAACTGAAGCTCTTTGCTAACAGGCATGCTTCCTTTCTGACTGTTGGGGGCCTTTGAGTAATAGGGTTTTTAGACATTGAAGTCAGTATATAATTTTTGCATTGAAATATGTACTGCACTGCAGTCCATTAAAGATCTGCTGATCTGTTAAACACAGTGAACAAAAGACTTCAAATTCCGTAGGACATCACGCTGTTACTTTATGACATTTGAGTAAGTTGAGAGGAACACTGATTTAAATATAGGCCAGTCTTTTTCAAGCTGAAGTTCAAAAGATTTAGTATATAAATAGAATGCATTTAACATGCAAAAATAATTAGAAAACCATATCATCATAGTGGGGAAATGTAGTCTTTCCAATAGCTGCAATTTTCCAGGCAAAACTGTCCAGAATAGTACAAATGCTCTGCAAGTCTGTCTTGATGAATATATTTTCGAAGCAATAAACAAGCTTCACAGCAATTTTTTAGTTTCTCTTTTCAAATTTTAATTTATCTTTTTAAATTTCTCTTATGTTATATTCTACTAGAACCTTCAGAGATGTAAAAGCTTAGGAAAAAGTGAAATGAGTAAGTAATTACAAAAAAAGTATGGAAATGGTTTCTAAATGTTAACTGCTTTTCTACTTTTTTTTTAAAATACATTAAGGAAAAAGTTTTCAGCAACAAAGAGAAGCAATGAAGCAAACCATAGAAGAAGACAAGGAGCCAGAAAAATCAGGTTGGATATATGCTTTCCAAGTTAAAAAAAATAATCTATCTCTTATAGAGGTGCTAATTAGTGATATCTGGAACCTTGTCGTTGTGGAGTTGTAGAAAATTCTTCCATTTTTTGTAATACAAGTGGGATGATTCTTTGAAATTCTTCATGTAAATACAGGTCTGAATTTAGCACTTTGTTTTATACATCACATGTTTTTCATAACTATGTGCAATGTAATTAGGATGAGGTAGAGGGATTTGGAAAACCCCTTTTTTCTTAAAGAATTTTATCTGCCATGACTCAGTTGAAGTCCTTCACACGCAACATCTGCTTAATACACCAAACCGTTGTAATGAACTGAAGAATATTATGCCTCTTCAAAACTGAAGAATAAACTTTCCACTTTAAAGATCCAGATAGTGGGTGGGATAGGACTGTTTCTACTGTACGGGTATTTAATTGTGATGATTTTTATTTTGGTTAGGAAAACTCTGGTGTGCGAAGAAAAACAAAAAGAAACGGAAAAAGGTTTTGTACAATGCAAATAAAAATGATGGTAAGCAACATCTTGTGCAGTGTGTGCACTTATAAGCAACTATAAAAGATTCTGTAAATAGCCTTGTGAAAAGAATGCTGAAATTCAGGATATGATGTTAGAAATACTGCCTAATGATGTTCTGTGTGGGAGCAGTAGTATGGTTTATAATAGTGCTTAGTGAAAGATGTAAAAGAGGTGGCAGAATGTGTAGGGTCATTTAGTGTCTTTAATAAAGACCAGATTATAGGGCTAAAAAGACAGCTTTTCAGGCATGGAAGCACTCATAATTTTACAATGATGAACCAGTTTATTCTGGTATTGTAATATCATCTCTGTATAATTAAGTTTAATAAATGGAAACTTCCTCCACAGAGAGTTTGTAGGCTATAGATACTATATTCTTACAAAAGTACTTGGGATTGGGATGATGATTGTTGTTGTTGTTGGATATAAAGTGTTACTCTTCTAATAGAAACTTGTTCCTTGGCAAGAAAGTTGTTTCCTGAGTTTATGCTGCTACTTATATCAGTAGTAAGTGGAAACACATTTTCTTTCTCCAGAAAGGGGAAAAAAAGCCTCATCTTACTGGGAAAGTGATGATCTTTGGGGTTGTGTTGCTTTGGTGACTCTGTTAGATGCTGGGCAGAGAGTCAGGAGCTGCCTGAAGCTTGATACTGCATGACAGGCAATGTGTGCAACTAGCAGTAAAGTATGTTGTGACTATTTTATTGTTTTTCCCTCAAGATTATGATAATGAGGAAATTTTGACCTATGAGGAAATGTCACTGTATCATCAGCCAGCAAACAGGAAACGGCCTATTGTTCTGATCGGCCCGCAGAACTGCGGCCAAAATGAATTGCGGCAAAGACTTATGAATAACGAAGTGGATCGCTTTGCCTCTGCAGTTCCCCGTAAGTTTGGGCAGATACGATTGCCTATTCTAAACATTGCCTGCAGACAAATCCTCTTGTGTTGAAAGTAGTAATTAGGAGTTTGGGGGTTTTGAGCAGGATATAGTCAGCTCTTGGATAAAGGGCAAATAAAGTTACATCTTGTGTGGCAAAAAGTTTCTTTGGTAAGACAATGCAAATCTGGTGTCCCAGCACAGTTATAGAGGCATTCTAAGACATGCATATATTTCAGTTTGAATAAAATTGGAGTTACAGAAATTTAAAAAAGAAACTGGTACATTGGTCAAAGAATTTTTAACCTACATATCCTGCATAAATTTAAATTTAGATGGCTTTAGTGCCTTCCTAAACCTCTTACGTTTCAGCAAATTTTATATTTTTAATGTCTAATGTACCCTAAATTAGGTTTACAAACAGCTTAGCAATATAATTTGTTATAAACAACTAATAGCTGTTTTCACATTCAGAATGCAGCTGCACAGGTGAAACTATTCCTTTTGTAGTTGACTATTTTTTCCTCTAGATAATGTAAAGAAGACCTCTAATTGTAGGTTCAACCTCTGACAACTTAATCTGTCCAGGGATATTTATTGTAGAAGATAAAATACTTGCATTTCTCGGATATTTCGTATGCTGCTTTGTTTTTGCTTGGTTACCATTATGTCTTCTAGGAGAAATACTTATTTCTCCTCTTCAGTTCTACAGGTATATCACTGTCTCGATTGCTTTTTTTTGTTGCTCTTGTTTGTAGATACTACTCGGAGCAGGCGGGAGACTGAAGTAGCTGGCAGGGATTACCATTTCATTTCCCGACAGGCATTTGAGAGTGACATAGCTGCAGGGAAGTTCATTGAATATGGAGAGTTTGAAAAGAACCTCTACGGTACCAGCATAGACTCTGTGCGGCAAGTAATCAACTCTGGCAAGATATGCCTTTTAAATCTTCATACCCAGGTATGGCAAAGCTGTTGCTTGTTGTGTTTTAATTGTAGAAGCTACTGTGAAAATCTAAAGAGCTGTATTTGGTTTATATAAAATGAGTGTGTTTTCAATTTCTATTTTCATGTTTATTCCAAGTTTTCTTTTAGTGGTGTTCAGTTGACTCTGTTTAGTGTGTTATGAATACAGTGTTCTTGCGTCTATTTTCAAACAAGGAACATCTTCTTTATCTGTGCAAAAGGTAATAGGGCCCTTGGTTTCCAGATACTTAAAGCTGATGAGGACTATCTGAATTGAAAAATTAATTAAAATAAGATTTGTGTCTCAGTCTTCCAATTACTCTGTGAGCTCTGAGGTTTTTGAAGATGGAGAGGAAGTTGGTTGTGATTATATTTGGAAACTGCATTTTGGGAATGTTTATGCAGTTCCATAACAGACAGGATTGAAGTACATCATATCAAAAATATTGAAAAGCTCTTTAGCTATGACCTTTTGATTATGGAGAAAGAAGAGACGAACTATGCATATAGACCTCAACTTGGAGATTTAGTCAAACGTGGGAAGAGGCAGAGGCCTGGAATACGACCCATTTTTTAATACATACAATATGTATGAGGTCTGCTGCTGTCCTAGATGCTGCAAAAGAAGCCCTAAAATTCATACACATCAGTAGTGTCTGGTAGTATTGAAGCTATAATTAACTATGACCAGTTGGGACCATGTGATACTTTACTAGAATAGCTTATGGGTGTTGCAAAGCATGTAATGAGATGAAACTTCATAACACTTTGAGAATTGATCTAATTCTGTGGTTACAAAAATCTGTCTTGGAGACAAGTTGTTTGTCCCGAGACACATAGAAGGAACCTTTTGGAAAAACCAAACTACAGTTTGGTTCTTTTTATTTCTTGTCTCTTGGTATAAATGTAACCAGCCCCCAAAAAATGCTAAGCATACAGTAGTAGTGCATCTGATACCTTGTATTTTAATCTTCAATACAGAAAAGGTTAAATTGTAGTATTTAAAGTAAATTGTGGTATTTAAAGATTCTTCTGTCTGTTCAAAGCTGATACCATTCCTTAGCATTGTAAGGAAACTGACATCGATGTAGGTGACTTTTTTTTTTCCTTTTGGATACCAAAAGAGATGTTCCTTCAGTTTAGTTACGAAGAATATTCTTGAACAAAAGTAAATGTTTGGGCTCCATGAAGCTGAAAAATGTTGGAATATCAATTCTGTAGGAAATGGTGACTGAACTCTGGTAATGATAATCCTGTTACAGTTAATTGTACTGCTGTTAATATATTGTACAATCGTCATCATGTTTGAAGAGTATGTTATCAATGATAGCATGTAAGTAATGCATCATTAAATGCTCTTTTCATGGGTAGAACTGTTAAATATTTAATAAATCCTATTTGTGCAGTCACTGAAGACACTACGTAATTCTGACTTGAAGCCGTATATTATATTTGTTGCACCACCTTCACAAGAGAGATTACGTGCTTTATTGGCCAAAGAAGGGAAAAACCCAAAGGTAATGTGTCTAACACTTCTTCTGAAACCATGCTGCTTTTCATTTACAGATGCTTTTGGTAAACAAATTCCTATGCTCTTTCTTTGGAATTGGGAGATGGTAACAGTACTGACAATATATGGGAAGCAGTGTAGTTGAGATCTGTGTGCTCCAGGTTAGCAGGCAGACCATACTGAGGGAAAGGCTAGGCATGCTTTCACCTAACAGAATGTGAGAGGTGTGAGGCAAGGGAATCCACTGCTAATTCAGTAATGCTGGGGCACAGTGTCTCAGTTGGGGTCCCTGCATTTGGGTACAAAAATATGACCCTTTATTTCAAGAGTGGAAAATCCAACTTTGTCTTCAAGTAAACCTGAGAGTAATTCTAGGGAGCAAATGATTATTGTTTTTCTTTTGAGAACTTATCTGCCCTTGAAAAAGCATGCATTTATTTATTTATTTGAAAATGTACTCCAGAATTCTTCAGATGAAGTTTTATTGTAATGTTTGGTCCTGTAGGATCACTTTTCATCTTTCAACCAGAGTCGTGTCAAGATCTCAGCTTATCTAGTTCAGATTGTTTAGTTAATGAGAAGTTAGTTCTACAGAATGGAATTGAAACCCATAGATTAAACCAGGATGTCTGCAAGCTCAGAAATGGTCCTTATCAGCTTATGAGATACAAAGTGCTTATTGCTAGGATAATGAAATATGTTGATCTTCAGCTTCGTAACTGAAATCTGCCCTACAGTGGTTGGTGGGAGCATTTTGCCACCATAGTATCTTCAAGGTACTAATCGAACATGATGCAGTTCATACTGAGGAAGAACAGTTCTCCCAGCATAACTCAAACAGACTCTTGATATGGCTGTTGGTCAGGAATTGAACCTCACTGTGTTCTATGGCTGTGTTGTTTTGCTCTCCTTGTTTGATGCAAGGGTGATGTATTGCCTGGATGCAACATCTAAAAGTCCATTGAAGTCCAAGTCTTAAAACAGAGGGATTTTTCTCCATGCGCCCCCCCACCCCCGCAGCTTCCCCCAAGTCAAATATAGCCATAGTCTTTAAATGGGCATGTTTCCTCCATCACAGACATGCAATGAATAAAACTTTATTTTATATAAATACTTCATCTTATGTATGTCCTGTGGTTTTTATTGCAGTAGTCAAGGAATGCATTTGCAATAAAAATTAATACACTGTTATTGGTGTTAAACTATGCCTGTTTTCTTTCTGCTTAATTGTATTGGAGTTCTATTTATTTCAGTTGGGTAAATGCTACTGTGTTAAACTCCTTTCCCTGATAAAGAAATGAGTATTTCTTGCATGTATGCCTATATGTGGCTTTGATTTTCTTAAGTGTATGTAACAGCTAGGGGGAAAAAAAAAATCTTGAAGGCCTGAAGTCACTTTTGAAAATATCATCTTTAGAAAATTATCTGTTATCTCTGTTGTAGGGGAGAGGCTTACATATGCTAATTCTCTGTTTTTGATTGCAGCCAGAAGAGCTGAGAGAAATCATAGAGAAGACGAGGGAGATGGAACAGAACAATGGCCACTACTTTGATACAGCAATTGTGAATTCTGATCTTGATAAGGCGTATCAAGAGTTACTTCGGTTAATAAACAAACTTGACACAGAACCCCAGTGGGTGCCCTCTACCTGGCTACGATGAGAGAGCAATTCCAAGGGACAAATGGACTTCAATCTAGTAATCTTTCCAAGGAGATCGTGTGAAGGTCTGCCCAGTTCTAGTATAAATGAGTGTGAGCTCTAGACCTCAGTGGCTGCGTCCTTTGCCAGTGAAATTGCGTAGTATTGAAAAAATACGCTAATCAGCTTGTGAGCCAATTTAACTGATCTAAAGATTGTCCAAGTTTTATTTCTCTGTGGTCTAGAAATGGAGATCTTGTCAGTACTAAATTCTAAAGCTTTAGATAGGTATTTTTTTTCTAGCAACTACTTTTATATATAAATCCACCTTTTTTTACCTAGAATCACCCATATGAAATCAAAGATTTTAAGTGTGTGTGTATATACAGTCAATGCTGTCACATAGTTATAAATATGAATGTTATTTAACACTTAACTTAATGACTTTGTGGGACATGATGGTAGTTCAGGAGCCTAATTCTACACATCATTGGGCAGAGAAATAATCTACACGTGAAAAACGTTAAAATTAATGAGAAATCGCTCCTGTTCAAAAAATACACAAAATTAAGATGCTGCTCTGGTCTGGAGCTGCCCTGTGAGGCTTGAGTAAATATTTTAATTCTCAAACATTCCACTTTCTAATAGCACTGTAATTGGAAAATGTGTATAATGTAAATATTTCAATCCTTGTGTCTTTTTAGTCAGACTTTTTAAATCAGATTTGACTGCACATTAATTTTAGGTCCAATCAAAGATGAATATTATATTGATCTTTTAGATGTGATATTTTTATGGGATTTTCTTTAAAACATACTGACTGATTAGAGCGGCTGTTTTCCACAGATCTGTAGAGATATTTAGAAGAACAGAAGTTATATTTTTGTGAAAAATACGTAGTTTAGTTATAAGACATGCTGTTTAAAAGTTCTCATGTTTTGTAACAGAACACTGACTAAAATAGACTGATGTGCTGAACATTGGAAGATAGTGGGGTTTTTTGATCTCTGCAAATGGTTCATCTGGTGGCTGTTGGTCTAATGGATAACTAACTGGAACTAAAATAGCTGAATGTAGTACTGTGTTATAAATTAGTATTGTAATTCACTAGCCAACACACAGTGCTGCATTTGCTCAGTACTGCAGTGAAAGGATGTGTAAAACACTGGTAACTCACTGAGAAGTCACAAGAAAGGGGAATATTTGTAATGGTTAGAACAAACAAAAAGCTTGAAACAAATGAACAAAAGGCAAGGTCTGTCTGTATCCTGATGTGTTCTGTGAAGCAGATTAGAACGTCTCTGCATCCTCAAATGATTCTGAGCTGTGAAGGTTTAACTACTAAGGCTGTGCATCTGCAGTAGGGCTGTTCTGTTGCTGAACCTAACTGAATAGTAGTGTCTTGGCTGTTTTGGGTACTACAAAGAACCTTGACTGTGAATATCTCTTAATTTTAGACATAGTGTTTCATTGTTCTTACAGGTAAAACACTGGAGTTACATCAATGTGTAGTTCACCCCTGTCTAACGTTGAAGGATGAAAAAGTAGTTGATTTTTTTCTATACTGTCTTGCATATATTCTTCCTTTGAATGTTAATGGAACAAATGCACAACCAGGGTTAAACAGAGAGCTCGAAGTATACAGCAGATACAAAGAAACTGTCAGATAACTATCCTAATTACTGAACTAACATTCAGTACAGTTTTGTATTAAGAAATGGAAGTATAGAGTGCATTCCTGTCTTGTTAGGAAGCAAAATTATTTGCTGGTTTAATTAGTATTTAGGGCTGAAAAGCAATTAAGCAATTAGTGGGGATAAGTAATGACCCATCAGAAAGAAAAGGGGTTGGAAACTTTAGTATCTCTGGTTGAATTCAGTGTTAGAAATAATAATGTGGTAGCTGTTGGCTAAAGGGCTGGATATTCAAAATAATGGCTTTTTGCCTCACATTGCAGGCGTGTTCTCAGTTTAATCCATGGTTTATGATAACTACAATGTTTGGGTATAGGTGACAAAATACTGTATCAATTCTACCCTTTTTTAAGAAAGTTGATTATAGATGTATTGGGCTTTTTGGTATTGACTGTTTCATAGCTGGACAAGAAGGCGGAGAGCAGTAAAATGTGTTTGTTAAGGGTAACCGAGCTCAGCTATGTAGGTACTGTCCAAATTCTTGCAATCACAATCAGCTCAAGATGGTTGCTGAACCCCCTTAGGTATTCAGTGTTCATAGGCAGTGTCAAGTAAATCATGCAGCTGATGTATTTGACTAATGTTTGTCTCCCCAGTTTTTCTGAAATGGTGTACAGAAGCTGTTTTTATACAAATAAGCTTTTGAATGTAAACTTAAAGAATGTTGCTCGAAGTTCAGCTCTACTCTTTTAATTCCCAAGACACACAGTATTTCCTGACATCCACATAGAGAGGTACTGTGATAGTTAATAACCAATGTTAGCTTTGTCTCCTAAGTAAAGGCTTGTGCAGCACTGAGAAATGTACCTGGCTGTCCATCTTCTCCCAGCTTGGACCTGGAACTACCTTGCGTAAGAAATTATTCTGCTTTCTTTAGTGAAGAATGTGTGTTAATTCGCTTGGAGTAAAAGAAAATACGCAAACTTCACTGGTGAAATTCTTCAGCCTTATCACAGGCTTTGTAGTGAGCTGTATCAGACTGAAATGAGGGTATCTGCATTTTTACCAGTCCAGATTTAATTAAAAATAAATGTTAGCTGAATTGCATAAAAGAATTTTTGAATGTAATTATATGTGACTTTTAAAAATCTAAGATGGGGGATTTAATGCCTTAAATAATTAAGGTAACTTTACTGAGACCTGTGGTTAGCCTCACATTGTACTTTTATACATGTATCTGCACTCTGTATTTTGAGACATCATGAACTGCACACTAATGTAAAAATGTAAAATATTTCTAGATTTAAAATAAATCACTGTACAATTTTACTCCTTGTAGTGGATCTTGGGAGTCGTCTTTCCGCCATTTTGCTGAATGTGTGAAAGATGCTGTGACCCATCAGTGCCCTAGAGGATGTTCTCTGTTCCTTCTGACACCATGCATCCAGTGGGAGAGGTGACAACATGTCCTCAGATCTAGTTTCTGTCTTTCAAGCTGGATCTGTATCTTACAACAGAGTAAGGACTTCTTCAGCTGTGCTGCCTTCTGCTTCTAAAGAGAAAAGAAATGGCCTTGTGCTTCATAAAATTATAAAAGTACTTTTTAAAGGTGTTAATAGAAATTAATTTCCTTGCACTTACCCTGCATCTGCAGTTAAGTGCTGGATCAAGATGCTTACCTTGAAGAGACTCGTATACTACAATGCACTATTATTACTGCTATGGCATGCATTCCGTTTGCTGGTTGCAAACCAACATCTTTAGGAAAACCGCCCTTCAAACTGAGCAGCATTCAGTGACAGCCTGCTTATCAGCCACTCTCTTAGACTCCCCTCATGAGCCTAGGACATGAAGAATCACAGCAAGGATGGACTGCTGTACATTCAACCCTGCTTCACTCACCAACCTACTGGTTGCAGTGAAGATTTGGAGCAGTGTGTAGCTGGATAGTTGAGAACAGTTTCTATGTGTTTGTGGCAGGGGGCAGCCACTTGGTTACTTATCTAAAGCAGCAGAATGTGGGCACAGGCTGAAAACAGATGTGCCTAGTGCAGATTCTAAGTTGGGGGTAGGGCATGAAGTGAAGATTTTATTTTGAAATCAACATGACAAGCTTTTGAGACCACTATCTTCTAGCAACTTGAGCCAGACACCAGATACTTAACATTTAAATTTTTTTACTTGTTTCTAGCACAGACAGTACACAAGTTGGCAGAACTTCTAATTAAAACCATAGATGTTTTAGGCCAATGGTAACAATCGTGCAACAAAAATCACAGAAGACCGTGGATTTCATCAACAGGTTAGAAAACTAGAGTTGCCTTTACTGACATTTGACTTCAGCTATGCCAACAACTGCTTTAAGCAACTTGAACATCAATAGTTCAGCAGTAAAGAATGTTACGTGCATCTCCCTCCTTAAATGACATTTTCCATTTGCACTAGGAAGGGGAGCAATTAAAGAGGAATCTGATCAGGCAAATCCAGAGCCATCCTGCAAAACCCACAGCTATGGGCAGTCATTCCTACTAAGTGAAGAAACAGGCTGAACAGGCAATAGAAGGCTTTCCTGATAGTAAAGCACCTGGCTCATCTCTCCTCTTCCTCCTGTGCTGCAGTCAAGTTCCCAGATTTCTAATCTCCCAGGAGAAATCCACAATCCATTCAACTCAGGACTTGCACACCAACTGAGAAGCCACATAAGTATCATTGAGGCAACATGTCCTGAATTAGATTGCAATTGGACATTCTGTGTTCTGGGTCTCCTGCTCCACATACAAGAACAGTGCTGGGTTACTCAAAGAGAAGGTCTTCATCCTTCTCTTCTGCTAAGAGATTGGCTGGTTCACATTCCCCTCCAGCAGCCCTCCGCAGCTCCCGTTCTTTCTCAGATTTTTCTTTCAATACTTTTTTCTTTTCCTGGATCTTCTTTAACCTGTGAAGAGAAATGTGGTTTATCTGTGAAACAAATATGTTTTCATAAAACAGACTAGCAGCAAAGATGCCATACAACTGGGATATGATAAAGCTGCCTGGAGAAGTTCCCCAGGAAATGAAAATTCTGTAACAAATGGCAAAAGGCTCTTATCAGTGGCTGCTGTCATTGAAAAGCATCCAAACTATAAATTATATTCTTCAGCTTAAACACTGCATTATACCACTCTCCTTGTCTTCAGTAAAGTTAATTCTCCTTTAATTCATTTCAGGTTTGACATTTTTGCTTCAAGTCGCCCAGAACACTGACCTCTATGGCAGAGGTGTCCTTAAAGCAGAACATCTCAGTGTACCATATTACATCATTCCCTCTGGAAGAATGATAATGGCAGCTATGTACAACCTAGCAGTAGGGATTCAAGTGTTAACTTTCAGACAAGTAATTGCAGATCTATTCCCTAGGGAGGTGGTGGAGTCATCGTCCCTGGAGACGTTCAAAAAACGTCTAGATGTGGCACTTCAAGACATGGTTTAGTGGACAGGGTGGCATCAGGTGTACGGTTGGACTTGATGATCTTTGAGGTCTCTTCCAACCATAATGATTCTATGATTCTATGATTCTATGATCTCCAGGTGCCCAGCTCTGGAAACTGTGTGCAGTAAGAACCAGGTCATGTTTAAGAGTGTTCGCTGCCAGATTTGGTGAACAGTTCTCCTAAGTCCCTTCTGAGGAATGGTCTATTTGAGGAAGAGACCAGTCTCGTCTTGTTTTAGGTATTTACCTGTAGAATTCCTCTCGTTCTCGTTCATCCAGTTCTGTGATGATGTAAGAAAGAGTACGCTCGATCCTGGGAATGATCACTAAAAAAATACAAATATGGAAGCT